GATGGATGGATGGATGGATGGATGGATGGATGGATGGATGGATGGATGGATGGATGGATGGATGGATGGACGGATAGATTGATAAATGGATGAACAGATAACTGAAAACTGATCAAACTAATACAAAAAGAAATCAAATGTATATCTGTCTCTCCGGTTGGTTCTTCTCTTCTCTCTACCTGCAGGAGGCTCTGACCCGTCCTGGACCTCTTGCAGCCACCGCTGCACAGAAGAGGCCACTATAGGGGTGTTGGGTGGAAACTGATAGACCTCGTCTCTGGTGGGTAAATGGGTCAGAACCAGAGCAGGGAGTGGGGGCATGGAGCCCAGGTAAGACCCCAGGACAGACATACCAGCTGGAGTTCGGCCTCTGAAACAGGTGACAGAAAAGATATTAAGTGTTTAAGGTCAATCAAAAAGAAAAAATAAGTAGGTCCTCTGGATGGGTTCTTTTTTAGTGAAACATTTCATCTCTCCTCCAAGAGACTTCTTCAGTCTGATGAGTTTCAGGTGAATCCAGCCTTATAAGCACTGYCTCCACCTGGACAAACAGGCTAGTCACATGCAAAAGAGGRCCATCACCTAACAATAGGCTTGACTGGCTCTATTGTTCATAGAGGGTCATGTGCCCCATCACCTGATCTGTGTCGTGTTATGTGAATGTAGTGAATGCAAGCGGGGGTTCAACATCTACAGGCCAGCGGTCACTCTTTCAGGGATGAAGATGTTCTCATCCTTGACAGAGAGGAACGTTGGTTTGAGAGAGGAGTAAAGGAAGCCATCTTTGTGAAGAAAAACCGTCCACCATTAAACAGAGGTGGAGGCCTTCGTGTTCAGTTGTCTTCCTCCTACAACACTGTTATTTCAAGTATGACTCAGCCCCCGTGAGCAAAAGTTGTGAATCAGGGTCCCAACGATAATCAACACAAAGAGGGAAAGAGGGACAAAAACAAGGGGAAGTTGAACCCCGCTTGCATTCACTACATACACATAACACGACACGGGTCAGGTGATGGGGCACATGACCCTCTTTGGACAATAGAGCCAGTCAAGCCTATTGTTAGGTGATGGTCCTCTTTTGCATG